TCATGGTCTTCTGGCCCTTTTACAGGCCCGTCTCAGGCCATGGTCTGTGAGCAGCCCAGCCCATGTGGGATGTTTGCCTGTGCAGCTGGGCTCACTCTGTGGCAGTCCTTGTCTTCTATGCTTCTTTCTTTCCTTCACCACTTTGACTTGTTGGATCCTGGATGCCTTTTGAGAGCTTGGTGGCTTGAAATGGAATGTTCCCTTCTCTCAAACTAGTCCTTGCAAGGCAGCATCATTCCCTCTACCAAGCACCCTTCCTCTCTCATACTGTTTTCCTATGCTGTGCAAGGTCTGCCTTGTAGCGTTACTGTGTGTGCAACACACAAATGATAAGAAGTTTGTCTAGAATCTCCCACCTGGTGAACTGTGCAGGTGAGCTTTCAACTTCAGCCTTATCAAAGCTACAGTGAGATACCATTTCATTCCAGTAGAAGTAGCAAAATTTAACAAGACAGCAAACAACAAATTTTGGAGAAGATGTGAAGAAATTTGAGCTCTCATGCACTGCTGGTGAGATTGTAAGATGGTACAACCACTCGGGAAGGCAGTTTGGCATTTCCTCAAAAAGCTAAATGTAGAAATCCCACATGAGCCAGCCATTGCACTGCTGGGAATATACCCCAAGGAAGATAGAACTGAGACAGAAACAGGGATTTGAACACTTATGTTCATAGCAACGTTGTTCACAATATCAAGAAAATCAAAACAGCCCATCCGCAAAGAAATAGATTGAAAAGTACAGTACATTCACACGACGGAATACTACGCAGCACTAAGAAGCATTGATTTTGTAAAACACTAGATAGGAGAATCTAGAGAGTATTATGCTAAGTAAAGTAACTTAGTCTCATTAAGACAAATACTGCACAAGACCATTAGTGTAAGAATATAAGGATAATGAGCAAGATGTGGATAAAAATCCAAAAAAAGGAAGGGAAGGGGGGCAGAGAGTGGAGAGAGGAGGAAATCAGTAGGATAAAAGAATTTGGTGAGTGGAGGGTGTGTGTGTGTGTGTGTGTGTGTGTGTGTGTGTGAAGAAATTAGAAAGGATCCAATAGGGACCTGAAAAGATGGTGTAATAGAAGCCATTAATTACTGATAGCCAACACGAGGCCACCAGCTCCTCCACGGGAGAAGGATGGGCAGTCTCCTCCTGTGTGAGTAAGTGCTGCTGAAAACCCATAAAGAGTCAGCTCTGGGTCGGTTCCGACTCAACAGTACAAAACAAACCACAGTAGTAGCCATAGATCAACAGTTACTGATTTTAGAAAACGCAGTATACATGAGTGACAGTTTGAATCTGTGAATGTACAAGTGTATGAAACACAGTATACATGAATGATACACAGTGTGTGTGATTTTTTTATACAAATAAATAGAAAATAAAAATAAAGTGGAAAGAAAAAAAACAATTCCATTTAAAGAAATGATCCTGTCCCTTGAAAAAATGTTCAGTGACTTCTTTCCTCTTGGTTTTTGGTCCGTTTCCTCCTCACCTCCTCACTCTGTGACCTGGCTCTTTGCCTCTGTGTGTAATAAAACGAAACTCCTCAAACGCGTGGCCCCTGAGTCATAGCTGACTCTGTAGGGTCTCCAGGGCTTTGATGGCAGGGGAGGAGGTTGGATTCAAGCAACCAGAAAGTTCTAGCTTTTGGCTTTATCAGTGCAACTGACCACGCCTCACATCGTCAGAGCTTCCTTCTGTACAATTCAACTCTCAGCTCATTTCTGTCAAGTTAGAACCAACTCACAGGTGGCTCACTGGTGAAATTTTTCAGGCTCTAATCACAGAGAATTCCCCATCCTTGTCCGTGGAGTCCCTGGTGGTTTCCAGCCACCGGAGATGTTCCACATGTGGGTTAGCTCACCACTCCTTAAGGGTCACACCACCAGAGAGTGAGTGCTCTGTTCCTGTGCTGTGTCCAGCAGATGTGCATGACTGTTTCTAGAAGGTACAACTCTTGATCTTTGCTAAGAGGTTACAGTGTGTCCTCAGTGGGGCCTGGAGGGTGCAGAGCACTCCTTCTGAGACACCAGAATGAGCCCAGGGCCCCTGTGGTGGGTTGGTGCTGCGTGTAGAGGGGCTGCTATGGCAGTGTCGTCATTAAAGTCTGTGTCCCTTATCACTCAGAGCAGCGCCTCATCACTCAACCCCCTCCCACTGGCCAGTTATTGAAGAAGTGCCACCTTGGTCCAGGAGCTGTGGGGAGCTGCTGAAAATGGTACTGGCTAGGCAGGCCACCTTGCATGGAGTGAGGCTTACTTTAAGGGGTTTGCCAGCTGGCCCGTTCATAGCCTGGCAAGGCGGTAGTGTGATGCAATGCATTTCCGCTGCACTGGATGATAACAACACTAGTGATTGTCAATAGGAGCTTATCTCTTTTTTGTCATTTATTATTAATTTCAATGACATTTTACAGAGACCTTGGATTTCAATTCATTAATTGTTTGCACTTTCCCCCCTCCCAACCCTCCTCCCTAGTACACTACCCTCTTGGAAAAGTTAAAGAAAAAGTCTTTGATCGTTTTACAATCCCTCCCCCCAGGTCCACTCCACTATGCAGCCTTCGCTCTGGACTCCTGTCATGACAAAAATACCTAATCCCATATCCCTTTTAAACAGTTTTCACCCTCATCTGTTCCAATGCAGTATACATTACTGAACCCATCTTTCCCAGTCTCCCCCCAACCCCGATGTCAGTCCTGTTTAGGAGATTATCTTTGTAGAGAGAGCATTTATTTCTGAAAATCAAAACACTTATATACAAAAAATGCAATCATGTTCAACTTGTGAATTTATTGTTTTGTTTGTGACTAGTGTCATCTGACGTACTCTGGACATGTTATAAGGAGAGACCGGTCCTTGGGGAGGGACATCATATTTGGGAGCGTGGAGGGACAGCGCAAGAGAAGACCCTCGAGATGGATCAATTCAGAAACTGGGGTAATGGGAGTAGGTGTGTCAGAGACAGTGAGGTTAGCACAGGATAGAGCAGGGTTTAGGGTTCTTATACATAGAGTCGCTATGAGTCGCAAGCAATTCGATGGCACATAACAACAACAACTGTGTCATCTCATTAAACAGAAGCATCGCTTTGAAATAATTTCAACCAAATGCTCTTTCTCCATTCTCATTCTTAACTCATTGCCATCATGTTGGGACCATCTCTTAGATGACCTTCCAGTGGGTTGCTGGACAGTCTTAATTAGAGGGAGTTAGTTGTCCAGCAGAGCCGCACATGGATTTGAACTCCTGTAGTGATTACACCTTCAGATTAACAGCATAACTCCCTAGAGACAAGTCCACCAGAGCGTCCTTCAGCAGGTGATCATTTCCCAATACTTTTTCTCCTTAAACTTAGAGTTTATATTCATGGCATTGATTTCCATTCTAATTACATACTATTATGAATTATTTCTGGAACCATTTCTTTAGTTGTATTCATAAACATAATGGCAGTGTCTCTTGGTAAAACTAATGAAGTGAATGAATAAATGGAAACTTGTTATCAATAAATTTTTATAAAACTTTGTATTAGTCACTTGGAATTCTTGTGTGTGTGTGTGTGTGTGTGTGTGTCTGTGTGTGTGTGTGTCTCCTGTCAAAACGGATCTGACTGGTACAGGAGACTGTCCCTCCTTCTCCAGCAGAGCGTCTGGTGGGGAGTTCTTTTTCTTAGAAGGGAAGAGACTAGATCTCTGTTTACTTGGACGTTTCTTTGTTGTCATTTTTGTACGACCTTTCTAGCCAATTTAATGGAGTGGTATTCTGGTTTTAAACTCTAGTAATCTTGAGATTATTCTCTTTATTAATGTCATAATTATTCGTTCATCAGCTTCAAAATATTTCCAGTTGAAAAAGAACTGACCATTGTTGTTCTGCTTTTTTCCTTTTTTTAAAATCAGCGCTTTAAGCCAAAAATGCTGTAGAGCCATTTTTGCATCATTGGCATTCGCGAGGTGAAAACAGCCTCTGTGAAATTAAATATTGCGGGATTTGGAAAGAAAATCAGTCTAGGAAATCAGTTAAATGAGAACCTTGTTCTTCCAGCGTGTCATTCTTTGGATGCCAGCCTATCATGAAACTCGATGCATGCTTGATTGGAAATAAAAGTTGAGTAACTTTCAGATTTTCAGGAAATACCAACTTATGTAAAAGAGCATGATTCTAATTTGAGATAAAGAGGAGGATGGGGGAAAGGATAGTTATTTTCAAGAAAGTATATATTTTTTTAAAGAAATCCAGCTCTTCTTTAAAGAATTTAAATGCAGTTTCCCAGTGGAGATCTTCGGGGACGGGCCGGTAGAATTTCTGAGAACATGTATTCTTTACAGAGCAGGAACAAAGCTGTTGCTCGCTCCCTGTGTAATCATTCTGAGACTCTACTCATGTAATCCTGAAGGCACATGGTTCGAGGCTGCCAGCTTCTCTGTGAGAGAAGGCTGAGCGATTCTCCTCCCATGTGATTAACTCCTTCTGAAAACCCACTGGAGGATTAACTATGGGTTGGTCCAACTTGATGGTACCTAACAACAATAACAACAACAACAACTCACTTAATAGAATCCTAGTGGTGCAGTGGTTAAAACAAAAGCCTATTACCCAAAAGGTCAGCAGTTTGAGCTCACCTGTTGTTACCTGGGAGAAAATGTGGCAGCTGATTTTCATAAATATTATAGCCTTGAATGGACAGAGGGCTTAATCATAGGCTCACACAATTTGATGGATAGAGGGAGGGGTGGGTAAAGGAAATGGGAAAGACCTGGTGTGAAAACAATGTACACAAATTTTGTAAATAAACCAGTATAAAATAAAAATTTTCTTTAAAAACAAAAATGATTACAACCTGGGGGATTCCACGGGGCAGTTTTTCTGTGTCCTATGAGGTTGCTCGGAGTCAGGATTCACTAAATGGAAAAGAACGAAAGTAGAATTTGCTCAATTTGAATGAAGGACCTCTGGTTGACCGCTCCCTTCTCTTCCTCTCTTTCCTGTGCAGGTTACCTATCTGGGCAAAGTCCCCACCACTGGCATGCAATTTCTGTCTGGCTGCACAGAAAAGCCAGTCATTGAGCTCTGGAAGAAGCACACACTAGCCCGAGAAGACGTCTTCCCAGCCAACGCGGTCCTGGAAATCCGGCCCTTCCAGGTGTGGCTCCATCACCTGGACCACAAGGGCGAGGCCACCGTGCACATGGATACCTTCCAGGTGGCCCGCATCGCCTACTGCACCGCCGACCACACCGTGAGCCCCAACATCTTCGCCTGGGTGTACAGGGAGATCAATGACGACCTGTCGTACCAGATGGACTGCCACGCTGTGGAGTGCGAGAGCAAGCTCGAGGCCAAGAAGCTGGCCCACACCATGATGGAAGCCTTCAAGAAGACTTTCCACAGTATGAAGAGCGACGGGCGCATCCACAGGAACAGCTCCTCCGAAGAGGTGTCCCCGGAACTGGAGTCCGACGATGGCTGAGGGAACTCACAGTGCTTCGGCAGAGGCAGCAATGGGCCAGGAATTCCAGATGCTACATGAGTAATCAGTGAATCAAATTTGGGATGAAAAGACTGCCACGCTCTTGGCCGCCCACGCTTTCAAAATTCAGAAGAGCAATTCTAAATCTAAAGAAATGTCTCATTAAAGTAATTACATTGCATTGAAATCTGCTGCTGCTGTGCCTGTGAGGAGGGTAGCGTGTGGATGGGGAGGGAAGGCCCGAAACTCTCCTCTTCTTCTGCCTTCTCTCTTCCTTCTTTGCCAGGGCCTCCCTGTGGGAGATCTCCATGCTGAATTTCACCCCTCTCAGGCATACACTCTGTGGCTGTCATTTGATGGATTCTTCCAGTTTGCCTTAGGAAACCCGCTGGGAATAGTAGAGGCACCTGTGAGATCCCTCCTGGGAGCAGGGAGGTGCTGGTGCTGAGGTGGAGACCACAGAGTAGAAAGCAATCCTGCATCTGGTTCTGAGAGCCCCCTCCTCCCATGGCATGTCTCCCCAACATGGAAACCAGCACAGCCATGACTGAGCTTTACAACTAACAACCCGATGTAGCTGGCAGTTCATTCACAGTTAAAGACAGTGCTTTTATTACATGAGTATATCAAGTAGGACCCTTTTATTGTATTCACGTCATCTATTTTCTTAGAAGACTTGCAACTACTAACTACCCCTTCCTCCTGCCTGTTCAGTCTTCCTTGCCCCTCCAACCTCGGCCAACATCTCTCTCGAGATGAGAGCTCAGTGTGTGCTGCAGGACCCCAGAGGGAAGCAAAGAACGTGGACAGTTCGACCACCAACCCCAGCAGCAACTCTGGAAGCAGAATGAATGGGCTCCAGAGCTCGTGGACCTGCTCCACGCAGGCGAGCCTTCCATCAGCCTTGATTTATGATAACTTACTCCATTTGCTGGGCTGATGGTCCAGGCTGATGAACCCGTCAAGTCCATTCCAAACCTGAGGTGCAATGACCAGGGAAGCTTTGCTCCTGTATTGCTCAACATTGAACTTAAATAGGGAATTCATTCCCTAAACTTAGCATGTCAGGATAAGTCGTGTGCATCTTAATCTGAAGGGAAATTTGACCCAGTTTCTTAAATTTGGCGACCTTTTAGGGTCATAATTGCCATTTCATGGTTTCTGATGAGAAGTTCTCATTACAAAAGCCTAAAATTCCTGAGTCTCCTGATCTTTGAAGGTTCTAAGTGCAAAGGGTCCCACCTTGAGTGAAAATGGAAAGTGTTCGTTAAAAATGTATACATTTAAGGCTGAGAGTAGATAATGTTTTATGTCCCCAGGTATTTCTTTTTTTTTCCTAAAATCTGTTTGGAATCCTGGTAATGTTAGGGGCACTGACGCACCTTACAGAAGCCTTAAATGAGCACTAAAGGAATTCGGAGTGGAGGTGTCGTGTCCAGCCTGCGTACCTGTGAGTCCATGGGTGTGTTTGTGTGTGTGTGTACGTATGCCCCTTCCCCATGTTTGGGTCCCCCGTTAAGGCATGTAAAAGCATGGGGTCATAGTGAGGAAGACTCACCTGTTTGAAAATATGCTTGTTGCTTTACAACATATGTAAACTATTCTTTAGCATAAATGCATTCACTCTTTAATAAAAATATGTTTGAGTTAATAAAGCTGAAAAATTTCATACATTCTACATCTTTTATTAAAAAAAAAAAGTCACAGAAATCTGAAGAGCAAAATAGACTCCATGGAGTAAATAGTTCTATCTCAAAATATATTTAAGCTTGGACACAAATAACTTGTTCTACAATTGTGTTTTGCTTTCTTTCTTGAATCTTCTGTTCAATTCTTTTTTTAATTGCCACCCTGTAGTTGAGACTGTTAAAGACAATGTTTTTATTACATAACGTATCAACACTTGAAATAGATATTTCTTCTGACAAATTTATCTCAGAGGAGAAGCTTCCTAAACACATCACAGATGATTGCTATTTATACAATCGGTGTACACCTTTGGAGAACCTAGCAGAAGCCGTGGAAACTAAGCATTGAGGAATGCCTTCTGACAAGGCTGGTTACAGATGGCTCCTCTTGGTCACGCTTTCCCAGACAAGCCTCATTAATCAAGCAGGACATGTGGCTGGGGGGGTGCAAAAGGGTCTCTGTGTTTGGAGCATTGCCCTTCACAGAACCGGAAACAATTACAAAGGGCCCTAAAGCGAAAATAGAGGTGATTGCTCTAGAGATGACCTCAAGTAAGAATTACAGCCTCGCTCCTGCGACAGAAATGGCATTTCTCTCAAGCTGAGCTTTTCCCCAATTTCAATTCTCCTCTCTTGTCCTTGAAAATAACCCTAAGAGGAGGGGTGCTTGGAAGACAGGGAACGAGCCAACGCTGGCTCCTTAAAAACACCACACCCTAACCTAGTAAATGTTGACTCTCCCAGTGGACACAGATTTTGATGTAGAAAATAGCTGCCTGAATTTTTACAGAGTCTGAAATGATCTCAGAGGAAGTAACAGTCTCTCCTAACATCGGCAAGGACTTCCTTTAGGGTTGTTGTTGTTGTAAGGTGCTGTCAAGTTGAGTACAACTCACCGTGATCCTATGAACAGCAGATCTGAGCCCTGTCCTATCCTATTCATCATCTCAGACAATTGAGACAGTCATTGTGTCAACCCAGCTCTTTGAGGCTCTTCCACTCTCCGGCTGATTACCCTCCTTCCCAGGCATGATGTCCCCTTCCAAGGAGTAGCCTCTCCTCGCAACATGCCCAAAGTATGTGAGACGAAGCTTTGTCATCTTTGTCTCCAAGGAACATTCCGGCTGCACCTTCTCCAAGACATATCTGTTTGTTCTCCTGACGGTCCATGGGATATTCAGCCCTCTTCCAGTGCTGCAGCTCAAAGACTTCAGTTCTTCTCCTGTCATCTTGCTTTATTGTCCGGCTCTAAGATGCAGGTTGTTGTTGTTGATTTGCCATCAAGACGAGTACGACTCATAGTGACCCTATGAATAGAAGACCTTTCTGTACTATCTTAAGTTATTAATAAGACCATGGCCTGAATCAGGTGCACTTGAGTCTTCAAACTGATATTATTGCTGGTCCATGACAGAGGACTTGCCCAATGCAATATGCCTCCTGATCTCCTGGCTGCTGGTACCAACCAAGGGTGTTGATTGTGGATCCAACTAAGATGACATTGCTGATAATTTCAATCTTTTCTCCAGCTGTCACGGTGGGAATTGATTGATTGACAGATTGATAGCCCTTTCTCAGCTGGTTGGTGGTGAATGGCCACTCATAGTTGGTGGAACGATTTGTCTGGTTAATTCTGATAGCAAATGAGACTCTGGTATGCTAACTGAGCTGGTATGCTAACTGAGTTACATGACCCCCAGGTGTGTGGTGCCCCTCAACTTCTTAGGGAGACAAGTGACATTTAGCCACATGAGACTGAGCATTTGAGGATGAGGGAAAAGCAGTTTAAAGACAATACACAATAGATTTCAATGATCCAGTGAAATCTTTGGGGACAGCTAATTCTAATTCCCTTCGGAGAGATGATTCAGATCTGTGTGATTATTTTTCAGTGTTCTCTCCTTTTTTCACAAGAGTGGACATGAAGCACGTTTGCGTACATTAACACACTTTTTTAAAATTAATTTTAATGAAAGTTTACAGAGAGACTTAGGGTTTTCGGTCTTACACACTCTTCAGAGAAGACATGACAATTCCATTGCTGCACATGGCAACCCAGGGCACAGTGGGACACTAAGCCATCCACATGATGAATTGAAGGCCACATCTTTGTGATCCATGGTCTTCACGGTTGGTTTTCAAAAGCAAATGGATATGACTTTCTTCCCAGCTCATCTTGCTCTAGAAATTTCACTGAAATCTGTTCAACATTATAGCAACATCCAAGTCCCAATGACCTAAAGGTGGTGTGTGGTGCTTGAAGTACATTGGCTAGAACTCAAAACCTGATCGTCCACATGTTGCTACTGCTCGCTGTTGTTGAGCCTAATAGTACAACTCATAATGACTCAGTGAACAACAGACCTGACCCTTGGCCTAGCCCATGTCATACTCACAATCTCTGACACACTCACACACTCACTGACTGAGTCAATCCATCTGGTAGAGGGTCTTCCTCTCCTTCACTGTCCCTTCACCTTTCCAAGTATGATGGTCTCTGCAAAGCTAATTTCTCCTAGCAACATGCCCAATGTATGTGAGACGAAGTTTTGTCATCTTTGCCTCCAAAGAGCACTCCGGCTGCACCTTTTCCAAGACATCTGTTTGTTCTTTTGGCCATCCACAGGATCTTCAGTGCTCTGCTACAACACCACAGTTCAAGTGCATCAATTATTCTTTAGTCATTTTATTCATCGTCCACCTCTCAGTTATAGAAAACACCATAGCCTGAATCAAGCGCCCCTTAAGCCTCAAACTGACATCATTTCTCTTCAATAATTTGGAGAGGCCCCTGATTACAGACTTTCCCAGTGCAATACATCTCCTGATCTCCTGACTACTGGTACCAGGTGTGTTGATGGTGGATCCAGGTAAGAGAAAGTCCTTGACAGCTTCAGTCATTTCTCCACCTATCATGAAGTTGCCCATTTGCCCAGTGGCAAGGATTTTTGTTTTCTTGACATTGAGATGCAATCCGTGTTGAAGGCTGTAGTGTTTAACTTTCTGCAGGAGGTGCTTTTAATCCTCCTCACTTTTAGGAAGCAAGGTTGTGTCTTCTGCATAATAAAGGTTACTGATGAATCTTCCTCCAATCCTGATGCCACATTCTTCTTCATATAGTTCAGCTTCTTGAATAATTTGCACAGTGTACAGATTAAATAGGTATGGAGAGAGGATACCACCTTGACTCCCAGTTGTCCTGATTTTAAACCATGCAGCGCTCTCTGTTTGCACAGTAGACTTTTGGTCTAGGTATAGACTTTGCACAAGCTTAACTGAATGTCTGAGATTCCCAATCTTCTCAAAGTTAGT